CTTTAAAAATTGCTCCAGCTTCCCTGCTCTTATGGGAAAGGATGATTGAGTTACAGGGGATTTCCTCAGCACCTAAACCCATGGAACTCCTACCCTCCCCTCACTCCCCCCTTCCTGTTGTATTGCTATTCCTGGGATGGCTGGAGCCAGCATACAGGGTGAAGGGAGAGTGGCAGAAAACCGGTCGGGGAATGTGGCCTCAAGGCCCACTCCGGATTTCCCCCTCCTCCATTCCTCTGTGTTCTGATCACTCTCCTGCAGGCAATCTGGGCTCTGTGCTGAGGTCTTGTACAGCTCCTGCCAGTGCCTTTCCTATGAGCGTGTAGCTTTGCTCTTTGCTTTACCTGCTTCATGTGGTGGTGGTTAGTGATTTTGTTTCTGGAGTTGGGAGCCTGACTTTTCTCTTAGCCATAGTGGTCTGTTACCAGTAGGGGGCGCTGGAAGCGAAGGCTGTGCTCAAGGTGCCTGGATTCTCCAGCTACTGTTCAGAAAGCAGTGAGCGGTCTAGGGTCACCATCGCGGGGACAGAGGGCAAAAGCTGCAACTGGTTCGCATTAAGCAAAACCTACCTCGTTAAGTATCTAGCACAGATATTTAAGAGGGAGGGAAATAAGAGATGTCAAAACAGAGAGTCCACTTAGTACTGTTACTAAACAGGAGCTAACTCTTTAGACAAGATAATGAAAACTAACAGCAAAATTCCGATCGGTAAAACTGATATAAACTAACCTTATTCCCCTGCTTAACCTCTCCAAGGACATTCAACATGTCCCACCACATCCTTCTGCTGGATTTTACGTTTTTGTTATATGTAAATAAGATAAATGACGCTGAAGTAAACAATTTCACGTACCTCAGTCTGGAATAGAATATATATTCATATAGAAAATGTCTGTGATTTTTTTTTTGTCACGGCTTTATTGTTTTTAAAGTATTGTATGCCTTTTCATGAAAGTAAAAAGAAATGGCTGGAGGGTAAGGGAAACTCATGGAAAGTTAGTTTACAGTTGGATATTATAAAAATGTGTACTTGGACATTTACAAATAATATTAGTTGCTGCTGAATATGAGTTTTAATATACGTGTACTGCACCTATTATCTAATTTGATAAATGACAGTAGTTCTCGTCTGTAGTATAAACTTGTATTTTGGCACCTATTAAAGAGTACATTTTGAGTTAATGATCCATAATACACTGAAGGAGACATCATGGTCTGTTGTGTAAATCTTTCTTATTGCATGGCTTATTACTCTGAAAGATGGTAGTGCTTATGGTTTCTCATATCAGCTAGATGCCAAGCATGTGCACCAAGTTCACATATTAAAAATCTGTATGATATTTTTCCTTTAAAAAAAAAAGCAATGTTCAAGCTCATTCTGTAAACCATACTCCTAAAAGTAAACAGCTCAGGGATAGATTGATATCTAAAGGCTGAACAGAGTATGGAGCCTTCAAGTTTACAACTGAGAAAAGAAGCAGCAGTTATTTTTAGGACTGTAGAAGTACATTTATATGGTTAAAAATAGTTGAACAGATTTTTTTGAATAAACAACATTTTGTAAAGCAAAGCAAACACTGAACATTCTTGGACTGAGTTCTTGTACACTAGACTCCAGCCTGAAGCTACACATTTTCAGCCCAGTTTAAAGCTCTGTAAAAACATGATTTATAAGGGAAGTAGGACTTCAATTTTAACTCTAGCAGCTGGAGTATTCTGCCGTCCTTGTACAGGTAAAATGAAAGATTTTGATAGATTTCTGTGTTCTTTAGGGTAGGTATATTTTTATTACTTTTTCTAATGGCAACACTTCATTTCTCAGTTTAGTCGTGAATAGCTTTGTAAAGTCCCAAGGAGAGCAAAGACTTTGCTCTTTTGGGGGCATTTTACTTTTTTGTCTGAGAGAAGGTTAAGAAATAGAAAATGTAAACTCTTGCCATTAAGTTAACAAACCTTTCCTTTAGGAAGTTTTCACATAGTGTTTTGAAGAACCTAAGTAACATCAACAGTCTACATGTTTTAAATTTTCTCCCATTATCAGTTTGTTAAAATTTGTACAAGTAGCAATTTCCTGTATACCTTGTAAAGACAAAAACCTTGGCTATGTTAAGTTTATTGAGCTAATTTGCAGTCATAGATCTGTACCATCATAAATATGTAGCATTTTATTTGCACAAGAGCTATAGTTTTAAGCTTGTTTAATCAGATATGTAATCAAACTGGGTAATAGCAGAGTTTTACATCTGTTATTATTACTATTGTATAGAATGACATGATTATTATATTTTGTGTTGTCAAGACATTGGCATTAAGTAATAATGAAAAAAAACATTGCTTCTTAATAAATAAAACGTACAAACGTGGCAAAGAATACAAAAAACACCCTAGCAACTCCAGTTCATCAGTTAGAATCTAATTACAACAACGGATTCAACAGATGGAATTAGAAAGTTGCTTGGAAATTAGGGATGTGATAACCATGTAAATGGCTAATTGGGGTCATCGCTTGACCTTCGTGGTTACATGCAGGCCTCTCTCCCCACGCTGCTGCCTCTGTTACAGAGGCAGCAACATGGTGGGGGGACACAGGTGGGAACCTGTGCATGCAGGAAGCCTGCAAGCAGTGGCCTTTGTCTTCCTTCCCCCTCCCCAGCATCGGGGGGGGGGGGGGAGCAGGCAGCTCTGTGGGAGCCGCCTGCCCCTGCCCCATGTAAACATGTAACCACAGAATACACACATTTTAGCATTCCTATTGGATATACAAAATCAAATCTTTCACTGGATTCCAATCCTTTAATCACACTACTGTACATACATTATTAGCTTTAAGCCTGAAACAGTTCTACTGATGGCAATGAAGTTACTCCCATCCTTAACGTTAACAGAGGAGTTATGCTGATTTTCCCTGTATGATCTACACCATTGATAGTCAGACTGAGCATTGGGAGCCACAATTGGCTATTTAATTTGTCTCTTGTGGCTCTTTTAATCACATGATATTAAAAGACTGTGATTTAATTAATAACCAATCTAAGTTATTAACCAGCTAGGATACTTTTCTAATGTTATTATTATTAATCAAATAGAAGATTTACCTGATGTTTCTCTGGTGCTTAACTCAATAACATTTTTGGTTTTTGGAAAATAAAATTGAAAATGTACGTGCTTCATTTTAAGGATGTTGAAATGTGATTACCTGGCTAATCATATAGTCGATACAATTATACAATTAGTATCGACTACACAATTAGTCAATAAACACCTTGCAGAGCTGCAGCGAGGGTAGCTTCAGAGGAGTTGACTCGAGCCAGGACTGAGCCAGGACTGGCTCATGATGGCTCCGGAGCCACCTATGCTATGGCTCTGCATTTTAAATGTACAGGCAGTCCCCGACTTACGCGGATCTGACTTACGTCGGATCCGCACTTACGAACGGGGCTTTCTCGCCCCGGAG